ACCGTGGCATTGGCAGACTAATCTCTCTGCAGGAGACTGGAAACACAGGACTTCAGATAACTGTCACCCCGTCCTAAATCAGCCTCCTCTCTAATTCTCAGTCCCAGCAGCTGAAGGGACATAGCAGAGTGACTCCAGGTTTCTGCACTGAATCAACTCCAGCACAGCTGGTTCCACTGCTAAGGATGGCAGGGACAGTTACCTGAGACTGCTCACAAGGTGAGATGGTCTGAGACCAGTTTTCTGCAGAGCAGTGCTGTAAAGAGCAGGGCTCTGGTGGAGAGAGCAGAACTACCAGAGAAATCAGCAGATATGGAAAGTCAGCCCCACTGGCATGCTCTGGAGAAGGCTTCCCCAGAAGCCTTCTGCCAAGTATCCTGGAAGGGGATGGGGTGGAGAAAAAAGGGCTTAACACAGACTTCCAGGCTATTCTTGTCTGATTTCCCTCTGTCTTGCTGGCCAGGGGAAAGAGCTAGGGGATAGATTTTATTCCTGGGCATATAATTGTGAGATCATTGTTTGGGCAGGGTTGGGAATGCTCTGTCTCAGGGGCTGCAGTCACTTGAATAGATATAGTACGATCTGACTGTGCTACAGGGACAGACAACTGAGCCTGCAGCAACCAAACCCACAAGTTTATTCCTCTATAAAACATCTCTTTATTAAAATACAATACTTTCTAATAACTACGATGCAGCATCAAGAGCAGCACACACTGCAAATGTCCCACGTGGGAGCTGTCTGGGAACATTTGCCAGAGACTATTCAATAACAGCAGTGATAATCTTGCTACCAATGTCTTTAAAGCCAACAGTCCTCACCTATAGAGCTGGACATCTCAGGCTGCAACAGGCTGCAACTAATCGGGTTAGCTGCTTAATACACAATAGCCCAATGTTTGCTGCTGAGCTCCACCAAGCCCTGTCCTTTTGTTATCTTTCCTAATCCATATCCTATCCCATGACGCTGCTAGACAGTTATTATCCAATATTATCCAACAGTAAAGAGGTAGGGCTGTGCCCCAGTGAGCTGTGTCCCCTCTGCTTTGAGAGGTGCATGGGACTTGCCTGGCTCAGTCCCTTTTGCTGCCCTTCAGCAGCTCACCCCTAACACCACCCACTTAATCAGAATTGAAGAAATGAGGAGGAAAAAAAACCAGCTAAATATTCAAGTCTCTTTAGAGAACAATCCATCACCACCACGGAGTTAAACCCTCCAGGAAAACAAAAGAGCCTTAGGTCCAAACAGCAGAACTGAAAATACCAACAGGTCTAATTTGTTGACGGCTTAGTTGGTGTAGGCTTCTGTGAGAGACTCCCTGCTCCAAGAACCTTGTAAAAGACCTGGAAACAGGCTCTAAAACTGGTAAAGGACTTGGGCTAATAACAGCTCTACACTTTCACAAGACTAAAGTGGAAGGGAGATGAAAGGAAGGAAGGAATTACAGTCTGGGGAAGAACCCTCCTCACCCCATGGGAATGATTCATACTCACCTGGCCCCATCTCTGCTCTTAATAGAGCTGGGTGAGCCAACAAGGTTCTAACTCAAAACAAGGTTCATAACTCAAAACAAGGCTTCACTGTAAGCACCGCTGCCAGGACTTAAACCAAGTGATTTTTCCTGACTAGCCCTTTCTCCAGGGAAGCACAGCAGGCAAGGTCCTTGTTGTACCCCTTCGGTTGCCTGTGCTCAGTCTCCCTGGCAGTTTAGGTACCAGAGGGGCTTTTACAGTTGGGAAAGGGATCAGAGCTTGTGTAGGCAAAGCCTTACACACCCGCCAGCTCCTGGAGAACAGAGATCTCTAAGCATGGATAAGGCCAGCAGTTCAAGCACCAACTGCTGCACTGAATTTAACCACTGGCACTCACCCACACAAAGGCAATTGGTTTTGCAGCCAAGTGTGTAAGCTGTTACTCTTCAGAAGACTGCCAACAGCTCAATGCCTCTGGAAGCCCTCTCTGCCACCAGCCCCCCTCCACCTGGAGACACAGATCCACCCTCTGTGCTCCTACCAGTCCTGGCAGGGAAGTGCCTCACCATGCCAGCCTTGTTTCCAGATGAGCTGTCCGTGATCAACAGGCCCAGACAAGGAGAGCCCATCTGTCTGGGCTCTCTAGCAGTACAACACTTGGGCTTGCAAAGCTCCTCCTTCAACTTTCTCCCTTTAGAGGCTTCAAAGATGCCTGTCCTGCCTAGTCCCTTACCCAGGGAGGAAAAGCACAGCCACATGAAGAGCTCATCCCTGCCACATCTCCATTTTTAATTTCCAGTTCAGATCCCAGTGTTTACGACTATTTTCCAGAGACAGAATGAAATTGTTCTTGTCTGCAAGGTGTGGAAAGAGACTGCTCTAGGCTTTGATAGCCAATGTGCTGCCAGCGATGAGCATGAGGCTCTGGAAGAGGCTGGTGACATTTGATTATCACTTAGATCAGGAGAAAGAGGGAAAGCAACTTCCAAAGGCAAGGCTGACACTGTTACAAACGCGAGCAGAAATGACCTTCACACACAGCTAGCTCTCCCTGCTGCCAAGAACCATCCTCTCAGCCGCTATCATCTGAATCACCAGTACACCTGGGGCAGTGCTGCTTTACATCAGCTCCAAAATCCAGGTGCTTTCCACCGGGCTGGGGAAAAGGGTGTGCAGTGGGTCCTGTGCAGCAGGCACACTACAAAGCCTGTACTGACCTCCCAGCTCAAGGAGGCTTGATTTTCTCAAATCGTGACAGAAAGCATGGGTCAGCTTCCCATCCACACCAAGATAACGGGCATGTCTAAGCTGAAGCAGCCGCTGTCCGTGTGGGAAGTTTTTCCCAACACAACAAACAGGCAGGCTGGCAGCTCCAGTGTTGCTCTGCTGCTCAGAGTGCTTTGCAAGAGAACCACCCTCAGCACCCATGGCTAAAAACAACTCAAGGAAAGTGAAGAAAAGGCACAGATTATATCAGGACAAAGAGTTCAAAACTGGCCATTGGCAAGCAGGCAGGAAAAGTCCAGGAGACCATAAACCACCATCCAAGACCATTCTTTAGGATCTAAACTCTCTAAGCACCAACAAAAGACCAGCTCATGTTTAACTCACAGTCCTGCATTGGGAGGAGGGGACAGCAGTGATGTAAGGACATGGGAGAGGCCAGCTTGATAAATCTCAGCAGTACAGGATCCATCCTTACCCCAGAATCTGCAGCAAGAGCTTTTCTCTATTCCCTGCATCACATGGCTTTTTGATAAATCGTCCTTCCCAATAAATCTATCCCTCATTGTACACATACGGAATCCATTGCTCTAAGTAGCCACTGAGGTGCTGTCAGGGTCATTAACTATCATTATCTGGGGCAGCTGTTCCCCAGTGTGCTGATGTAGGAATCAATCAGGCTAAAGCATGAATTTCTCCTACACTTCTCCAAACACTGCCTTTGTCCCTCTCCATCAAGAGGTGAAAAAGAGGAACAGTTCTGCCTTTATGCCAAGGTTTAGCAGTCCTCATACTGGAAGGAGCTGGCTAAAGGGAAACCAACAGCAGATGAGGCAGGCATCAGGCTGTCACAGAGACAGGATGAGCTCTGACTGATGTCTTTACCAGGAAAGAGGAGGCAGGGTGATTGGAAACAGGCCAGTCAGCTGAGCAGAGATCACTCTTGGAAAAAAAAGTAGAAGGAAAAAAAAGGACCCAAAACTTCCTCATCCTTTAGTACCCCTTAATGAGATAACCCTTCTCTGAAGAACGGGAGGGCTTTCAAACCTTTCATGTGCTCAGACAACAAAGGGGAAAAAACAGACATTCAGGATTTTCACACCATCCAAGGTCAGGATTTGTTAAATCAAGCTGTTCAACATCTGAGGCTTGAGAGCTCAAAATCCAACTTCATTTTCCCGGGTGACAACTGCTTAACCCCATCTCAGGAGTTCTCTAGAACAGAGGATCTCTGTTCCTCTCCAGTGACTGCCAGCATTTCCAAACAGGATGAATTCATGAAAAGGGATGATACAGGATGAATTCAGGAAAAGGGACAATACCCAACTGCAGTCAGGTCAAGAGTGTGTGTGGTGGGAAATACTCAGAGAAGCAGCTTTTCTTCTTATTCCAGGTCAGTGATAGGTATAAACAGAGCTAATTCTGTGCTTGAGTGGTCTGGACTTATGAACCAGGAGACTGCTGACCTGCAGAAATGCTGGTTCTTAACCTGCAGAAATGCTCTTTATTAGCCCTGAATATCAGTTAGTCTGCCTAGGTTACACAAAAATAGACAAACCTGAACATAAGCCTCCACAACACACACACACTTCTCAGCCTTTAAGGGCATGTAGACACACAATTCAGACACGAGGCAGCTGCATCTTTGAATGACAAAGGCATTGGAGAAAAAAAAGGAAAAAAAAAAGAAAAAAAAGGTAGTGATGTCTTATTTCTCTTCAGGGAATGACCTGTCTTCCCAGAAGTTCTTGGCAATAAGATTTTAGAGAGAACTCATGGGAGTAGGGCTTCCCAAGGACAACACACATTGGTTTGGGGGTTTCCAATGCAGCACATCCTACCATAAAAGAAGACCCAGGAAAATAAAATGCAAACAGATGATAAAACTAAGGGTGGAAAGTCTGACAGAAGCACCTTTTGTTCTCTGATCAAAACAAAGATTCTTCAAAGTCTGTTGTACACATGCTGTGAGAATGAGAAACTTACAACTGGTGGATATCACAGACAGCCCCCATGAAGGAGACTCTTCCAAACCCTTTCTGCCTCTCACACAAACCAGACTAAAACTTCGTCTACCTGCCACGCCTGATTGAGAACACTTTGTCTTGCTTTAATCAGAAAATTCATCCTAGAATAAAATCCTTCTCCTCAAAGATTTATTAGGCCTGCACAATTGTCCTCAAAGAGGTTGTTTTGAAAAGCACTTGCTTCCAAACAGGAACATCTTGCCAAAGAGAAGCGTCAGTGGCGTGACTCAGGTTCCATCAGTGGTAAAGAGGTGGCCGGGACTCTGCCAAGACTCACCTATCCATCTCATGAGGGACGTCATGATTTGAAGATACTTGGTCTTCTGCACATTGAAGAAGGTGAAAGGACCCAAGAGGAGAGTGAATGCTGCCTGGAAGGACAACAAAAACACACACATTAGATTAAAACCCAGAAATTCTGCCAGTAAGACAAATTTATTAGTAGAACAAAGCTTGCACTGAAGGTTCACCTCCAGACATGTCCGTTTGTCATGAAACTTTCTTTTGTTGCTTAATTTTACAGCTAAGTTGGCTGACACACAGGGGGTCAAGTGAGCTGTTTGGTATCAGAGAACATGCCTGGGGCAGAAGTAAAGCTCAGGATCCTCTTGGCTCTTGGCCACTTGCTATCACTGCTCCAGCACTCCTTTACTGACACATTTCAGTAAAAGCTCTCAGTGCAGCCTTACGGAACATTAAATATTAAACTGTGGCCTCTTTGCCCGGGTACATGCTCAGTTTAGGTCTGAATAGCAATAGCCCTGACCAGTCTGCTTGCATTAACATTGATGGGGTGGCTTCAGGGTATCCCAGGCTCAACAGCAATGAGCCAGGTCTGCCTGGAACTTTTTTCCCCCGAGCTTTAGGTTGCTTGTATAAAAGATATAAGTTTTTTTATATATGGAAAAACATATAGTGGGAAGCTATAGTGTAACAGTTCAGCTCTTGACTTGCAAGCTTGGACCTGTGCAAAGTGAGGAAAAAAAAAAAAATCAGAGATATTCATAAGAAAGAACTTAATTCAGTGTGAAAATTAAAGGTTCTGTCAATGAAGAGAGACCTTTCTTGACTGCCCCCTTAGATGTGTATTAAGAGCATAGAATCACAGAACAGCTTGGGTTGAAAGGGACCTTAAAGCCATCTAGTTCCATCCCCCTGCCATGAGCAGGGACACCTTCCACTAGACCAGATTGCTCAAAGCCCTGTCCAGCCTGGCCTTGAACACTTCCAGGGATGGGGCAAATTGAACTGGGGTTTGCTGCAGCACCAGTCTGTTGCATCTCTTTTAGCTGGGTTACAAAAACATCCAACAAAGATCCATCCTAGAAATTTGGACTACACAGCTTCCCACGTGAGTTTCTTCTAGCACTCTCCTAGAGCACACAAGGCAACCACGTTGCCAGCCCATGCCCAGAGGTGATGTCCTCTGCAGCACTGTCACCTCTCTCTGGGCACCAAGTGGCACTCAAGCCCCACCTACCCCAGAGAGAAGAGAAGAGGCTTTGCTGCAGGAAGAAACAGGCTTTGGCTGTGGTCTGAACATAGACTGAAAGAAGCTACTTGTGACAGGGAGACAAAACAGGTGTTACAGAAGAGAGCCCTGCCTGTCATCCATGGGATAGCACCAGCTAGTGATACACTAACAGGTCCAAACACTGTAAGCAGGCAGTGTTTAGAAAGCCACAACACACACAGACCAGGTTAGTAGAGCATCCCAAAGGGATTTTTAAAGACAAATATTCAACATTAATATTTACACATTGCTCTTTTCCGTGACTTCTTAAAGCAGTTCAAGAAAAGGTGTCACCAGAAGTGAAGAACTGGGACTCAAAGGGGCAGGCTGCCGAGCCTCAAGGTCTCTGTCGACCCCAACAGAGTCAGGGACAGAACAGAATTCAAGCTATTTTAAGACCAGTACAACCCCCAGAAACCTTTTTTGAGACAGTTTCAGAATATCTGCAAGGCAAATTGGAAATGCCTCGCATCACAAGTACTCTCAGACGACCAAAGTAAACCCAGAAGGGGACCAGGGGAGAGAACCCTCGGTTTGACTCGTCACTTGGTGAAGACATATCCTGATCTGAGGCCATCGCTTACACCAAGTCTTGTTTTTTCTGCTTGGAAAAAAAAAGGAAAGGAAGCATGCACAGAATTCAGATTTGTGAAGCAACTGATGGCTGTTGGAGGAAACACTGAAATCACACAGAATACACCACCACAGGCATAACTGGCAAAGACTAGAAGCTAAACCAGCATTAACAGTTATGATGCTTCCAGTTTTAACACAGAAGCAAACCAGCCAGTTAAAAGCCTCTCTCGTTTGTTTTTTTTTTTTAATCTTTTTAACCTTCTCCCTCTTGTTCCTTTCTTCTAATCAGGAGCTTAACCCTACTCTCCTGCTCTCTACAGACTGCCATTCTGTCCTAGGACAGCACACAAACCCCAAAGGACTAAATAAACTTTAGACTGAAGAGCGATGTAGGGCAACAACCCAGAGCAAACCATAGACACCAACTCTCTTACTGAAAATTATTCTTGAGTTTGTGACTAATCTCTTTCAACCTCCTCTCCCCCAAAACAGACACTGCTCAACACAGCCTCCCTTCAAATCACGTTAATAGCTCCTGTGTCAGCAAGCGCTGAAACACAAAGAGACGGACGAAGGATGGTGATAATTAAGGAACAGGTGTCTGCTGCAAATGAGAATGCACCAGAACCAATTGGCAAAACAGCCCCTCAAACCATAGCAAGGATTGACACAGCACACAGCTGTGTGTGAAATCCAGATTTGTCTCACACACCGAGGAAAGAGCTGTGTTAAGGTAGAGGTGGGACTGAAAAGCACCAAAAGCATCATTAGGTGCTGGAAGAACCTGTGTCTCTTACATGCTCCCCAACATCTGCTAAAGAAGCAGAAAGAATTCTTCTGATTTACTCTCCACCTTTTGCAGTGATTCTCCAGTCCTCAAAGCACCCTAAAAAATTAAATCCATTGAGCAAAGCTTTCAACTCTGCTCCTCTCTGGGCGTTACTGCTCAGCTCTCCGGGAACAGGCCCAGGTTGTTGTGCTTGAATGGCTGGATTCCCCTCCCATCCTTTAGCATGATCAGTATCTTCTGCTCTTAACAAGATCCTGGAGTTGGTCCAAAGGAACCAAGTGAGAGATTAATTCTAGTGCAATAAAAATTTATTACCTTTTCCACTTGATGTCCATTAGTGATCCGAGATGGATATCCATGGATCAATACAAACAATGCTAAGGCCTGCAATGAGATAAGGGTGCCCTGCTCTATAGGGATTTGTGCCAACCACTTTTATGAATGGAGGCCACAGCACACACTGGACTGCTTAGAAGGAGAAAGGCTGGGCAGAACAGGGCAGTAAACAGCCAGATTAACATAATTTTGAAGTGCAGTGGTGTACAGCTCCACCGGATTGAGCACAGGGCAGGACAAAGGGGTCAGCTCCTCACCAACAACCAGGACACAAGGAGCAAGGACTTAGTCCTTGGATTAGAACTAATCTCATCATCAATCCTCAGAATAGTCCCAAGGCCAGGAACCCTATTAAAAACATCCCTAAAAGCACGAGAAGAGACCACAATGCTTAGCAGGAGGATGTCTACTTTCTCTACCTCGTTGTGCCAGACACCTCAATGCTCTTCCGACCCATTAAGTTAATTAGTTTCATAACTTCTCCCTAAGGAAAAAGTAAATCCAAATAAGCACTTCACACACATACCCAAACTTTCCACCTGATGTTTCCCAACATCAGGTCTCTCCCAGAGGGAAATAATTTACAGGGTGCTTCACTACACATGTAATTCAAACTATCTAAAACCTACATAGAAACCTGCACCAGTCATCCCTGCCAGAAATCGAATATGCAGATCCCCAACACATCAAAAAGCTCTCCCAAGTTTTCCAGTTCACCTCTTGAGCCAGCCAAGATATGTTCTAGGAGTTTATCATTCTCTTCCTAAGATTCAGCAAATTAACCCAAGGCAGAATGACCGTAGTCTACTTTGATTAAAGATTTTTCTACTAATGAAGTGGTTTCGTATTAGAAACAAACAGGCACATGTGGCTGATTCATTGCTAAACTCAAAGGAGGTAAAGGAATGCTTCCCTTGGCTAAGGAGGAGAATTGGACCTATTAAATACTGTTCATATTCACAGGATGGCAGAGAGAAACCTTTACAGTGCTTTTGCACAGGGCTGCCTATTAAGAGTGATTCCCTAATTTCTGTCCAAACTCCTCCATTGAACAGGAAAGGCCAGAAAAGTCCCCAGGCTCATAGTGGAGGGTATGTGGAACCCACACATAGCAAATAAATGTAAAATCCCTTCTTTTTCCTTCCTTTCTTATGCTGAAAAACAGCATGAAGATCCAGCATGCTAGTGTCTGAAAAACCACTGTTTTTCTTGCTTTTACTGACATTTCCAGTCAGAAAATGAGAAGCCAGTGAGGGTAGAAGAAAGAACAGCAGCTTGTCACCCTGGATTACACTCTTCCCTGCAGGTTAGTAGGAGCCACAAGCAGCACACCAGCTTGTTCAGCCCCTGGGAGGGTCTTCAAATCCATTCCTCCCACCAAGCCAAGCCATAGCAGTACAGGCACCAAGGTTTGGGAGCTTCTCTGAGCTGGCAACTCAGCTGACACCACTTTCCCAGCCTCTGCACCTGTCAGCTCTCAGTATTTCAAAATGAAAAAGCAGGCTGGTCAACTCGAGTCTTCTTGCCACAGGGGAACTAGCTAGGGCTTACCATTGCCTGGAATATATTTTTATATATATTTATATATTTCTAAAAGTATATTTTATTAAAGCTCTTATGCTAAAACTTGGTTATGTAACCTTGTTTATTGGCTTATCTTAAAAAAGCAAAGAGTAAGATCAAGCGTTAATAGGACATCTGGCTGGTTTTTATCAGCTTAGTTTCAGCCAAGAGGACCACCAAGAGAGCTCTCAACCACTAAGTGATGGCCAGCTAATGCCAAGAGTCTTTCAGACCATACAAACATGCCTCAAGCCAGTCAGAGGGCTGTTTGACCAAACAGGTTCTTTATTGACCTGAAGGGTCCATCCATCACTCTGAACCAGTACAATTCAATAGCTTTCATCTGCTTCCCAGCATGTGGCTTTTACAAAGGCAGCCAATACAGCTCAGGAAGCACAATTAGCATCCCAAACGTGGCTGATTCATGTATTAGATGCAGTAGTTACAGCATTATGGCTAGTGCCTGCATACATTTGCAAGAGGACCATCTCAAAAGCCAGCCTCATTCATAACTGTCATCAGAACTTGCTTGTTTTTATGCTCCACAAACTCATCTGTAAGAATTGCATCTGTCTTTGGTGCTTGCCAAGTAG